GTAGACCTGGTATTCTTTGTCACCCTTCAAAGGACATATAGGCCTAGTTACCAGACGACTATTGTGTCGCATGCAGAAGACCACTTGGCCCAAAGTCCCGTCCTTGCCTGATTGACCCACATGTAGTAACCCAGCTGGTGGAGGCCATTTGGGCCCAATGCAGGGCAACTCGGGGACCATTTTAGCTTTAGAGTTCTACATGGTGTCAGTCAAAGTAGAAGTCTAGTTCCACCTCCTTCTACTTTCCATAGAAGTTGATTCCACATATATAATATCCCTTAGCTATGTCCCTAATAAACGGACATCCAGAACCCTAACTCCATGTCTGAGCCTCCCAAAATGTGCCAGAAACTGATTGGGGATTTGGAAGTTGACTCTACCACACCTCTAGGAGGAAAAGCAGGCAGGTAAGCACCCCCAGGACAGACGAAGAAGCTAGGGAACCCTGAGCAAGAGCTACACATCTGCTAAAAGCAAACAAGGTCCTAAGTCTACGACTGCTTGATGTCCAAAGATGACCTACAGCCAGTTGTGACAGCACACAGAGCAGAGATTTTGACCACATTCTCTCTAACTCACAGCCTCTTTGCCAGTAGTGGCAACAGAAAACAAAGAAACTGGGGATCTTATCAGTGATTAACCACAGAAAGAGCTTCTTACAAATTCAATTTGTTTATTTTGTCTTTGAATGTCCTTTCCTGTGAATGTCATGTTAATTAGGATAACTCCTCATAAGAGGTACAGGAAGACTAATAGGTTTTCTTTGGCAATTGTTCTTATAACCATCAGCTCCCAATGGTCTTTGGAAATGTAGTTGAAGTTATTATGATTTTTTTAATTGTGCTTTAATGAATTCTTGAGGGAAGAGTGTGATTAAAAAGGGTATACCTGCTAAGCAGTGAGCTAATAACACATCACACTAAGAAAGAATCTATCAAATGAGTCTCTGAGTTATATCCATTTATCAAGTGGTAAAATTAAACTACAAGAATGTCAAAACATGTAAATGTTTCTAATTTAATATTAACTAAGACCATGAACATTATCCCCAAGGAAGGGAGGAAAACATACAAAGGATGAAAGTGAACCAAAGGAAGTGGGTTGTCATAACTGAATAACTGGAAAGGAATGTAACCGCTAGCCTTAAAGTCCCTAGTGTGCAATGCAGCTGAAATCCAATTGATACCGGTATCAAAAGCTCTTAATCATTTATACCTGGAAATCTGTCTTCCAGAAACATCTTCTAATTTATAGGAAGGATTGGAAAGGAAACACAGTTGCTACATATGGGTGCTCCCTAACTCAGAAACAGGATACAATCATTTGGTCCCTTGGAGGTAGAATTATAGAATAGGATAATTTTAAAGCTTTATTCTTGATACTCTTGTAAGATGTCCTTTCTAGCCAAAACCAGTTTTTAAAGTTCATCTACCCATCTCTGAATTTTAAGGATTTATGTGTTTGCATTGTTTTTCTCATAGGGGAGTATGACCTGGAAGAAGAGCTGGATCTCCACATGAGTCCAAGGTTTTAAATCTGCAACAAGTCCTGGGCCAGCAGCCAGCCAGCCAGCCACACACACACACACACACACACACACACACACACACACACACACATATACCAGTTCTGGCATCAGCTTGGACAGGACAAGATCAGGTCTATACATGGGCCAGGGAGATAGATTGGACTGTAAATTAACCCAATCAATGATAAAGAAAAACAAAATTGCCCAAAACAAATAACACCTTGTGGAGATAATTCATTTTGTCAATTTTACTAGCTAATAAGCTGCTATTAGGTTTTGATTTACGAAAGAACTAGTCCTATCTGTAAAATTAATCAATCCTAAAAGCCACCACCAACATTAGCTTTGGAACACAGATCTATCTAGAAAGTTTCCCAGACAACCAGCTATTGTTCTAAAATGATGAATAAATTTGTTTTCTCCCCCTATCTAGAAGCCTTTGAGAGGGAATTGACACTGATTCTAACCACTCCAACAGCTATCAAAATACCTGAGAAAAATCCTGAATCCATCACTCTGGAGTCCAGCCTTGGAAGACAAAAGACAGATGAGGAGGAACCCAATAGAGGGGTGCTTTTGGAAGCCCTCGTCAAGAAATTCCAATGGACTCTCATATGAACATGTGAAAATTGCCCTGTTCTGTCTTTTTTCTGGTTCCCTGTCTAGAACTTGTAATGCTAATTACTCTTGCCTTTACTTCACCCTCACATCTCCTATTCACAATTCAAGGACTTTCTTTTCCCCTTAGAGATAATAGTTATGCAATTTGGGAGTCTTTAGATAGACCCACTGAAGGAGTACTCCAATTGCCTCGCCCTGCGTCCCTGTTCAGCATGGAAGAAGCCAGAGCGGCCTGTGTCCTGATTCCCTATCTGCAATTTGGGTAACCTCTTCAGTGGATGGTGTGATAAGAATAGGAGGTAGGAATTGGCTAGGCAGTTAGGGTAAAAA